TTTCATGGTTGACCGTGCAAATCAAATTTTTGGCAACTTGGTCCATTTTTGTTTATGGAATAAGCAACCATACAATAGTGTAGAGCACCTTAATTTCTCAGCAGTCTTCTTGACTCCATTCTAATCCCTCCACCGGCTTTACGTTTAAAGTCTTATATTACACAAAATTGACTACTGTGAGCTTTATGTTAGAATGCTGTGTCCTCATCAAAAACATGCCCGGAGTTGTGTTTTGTTTCATTCATCCATGTTTAAGTAACACTTTATTATATCTGTCTGCATCTGCAAAGCTTAAAATCCTCTGTTCCAGCTTGTGATGTCATGAAGCTGTAGTTTTCAAATTTTTACTTTTTATATTTAGTTCAGTAAAGATTGGCAATTCCAGGGATGGAGTTATACAAATGATTCTAGAGAAAGTGGTTAAAAATGTGTGAATGAAAAACACAACTCCAGGTCTGTTTTTCATAAGGAAACGTTAACACAGATCAGAAAATAGCATAAAATAGCACCTTTAACGTCTCCTCAAAAAATAGATTGTTCTGCCATTTTGCTCGTCTTCAGTGACGTCATTCAAATACGTCATTGCTTGCTTGTTGTTTAGTTTACCAGGATGTTCCAAATCTTATGTTTGGAGAAAATGAATCACCGGACAACAAAACTATCTTGTATCAGAGTTTTGGACATGCACTTTTGCGACTTGGCCTGTTCCTCTCCTTTGCTCTTCATTATTAGTTTGAGAGCACCCTGGTATGTTTCATCTGGAGATGGATCTTTGAGGATGGTCCGAAGAACATGTCCTCCTGTGAACTCAGCATGGGTTTGGCGGCGTTTAGATTGCCGGTTGTTTGCTTGTGTGTTTGCTCGGAGTTGGAGCGCGCTCACTTGTGCGTCAGTGTTTGGATGTCCGCTGTGATCTTCGTCTTCAGTTGTGTTTGTTCTGGATACACTCTGCCCTTGATGTCCATGGCCTCTCCCATCTCTGTTAAGGTTCACCTCTCTGGTGTAGATCACGTCTCTGGTGCAGATCACATCTCTGGTACAAATCACATTTCTGGTACAGATCACGTCTCTGGTACAAATCACATTTCTGATACAGATCACGTCTCTGGTACAGATCACATCTCTGATACAGATCACATGGCTCTCACAATTCAATTCTGCTTGAAATCAGAACCATGGAGAGGACATTTGCTTTTACAAATTAACTTGGACAGAGATGGATCTACAAAACCAGGTGTCAGAATGAAAAACAGTAAAACAAATGAATGCCACTCACTACATACTTAATGTTAAAGGAGCACTGTGTAACTTTTCAGGTGGAGAGTCTTCTATCTGCTTGTCTTGATGCTATTTTCCATGAATGTGCCACAGTATGGCATTAAACTTGTTTATCTCTATGGAGACAAGCAGGTGACGCCAGGTCTAGTTACAGGTCACATCTGAAGAGAGGCGACCCCAGTCACCCTAAGAATGTTTTAGACAGTATTTAAGAGCAATAAAAATAACAGTAATTGAGGAAATGAAAGATGAACTTGCAATACTGGGTAACATTTTATGCAATAATATATCCATGAGATAAGCAGATAGTGGATAACCTAGCTCACTCCTGATTGATATATGAAGTGTGTTCTACACATTATCAATCTGGAATGGCTCTCCCATCACTCCCAGTGGTCAGGAAAAAGCTGAACATCATGACAAATATTTGAATCTGACTGTTGAAGTGTCACAACAGTGCAACAAGCTGAAAAATCTGACTTTTCTTACATCTACATACAAAGTGCTTAGCGTCTGCATGTTTTTTACAGTTTTCAATGCAGCAGTAGCTCGTGTATTAAACTATGTTAAATAAATCCCAAGATCCTATCATAATGTAAACAAAATTAAAATACAGACAGACTGCACCTCTGACCTTACCTTTATCCCATAATCTTGGCCAAACATAAATATGTGTCCTATGCATTAGAGCTCTATACTTTAAACAATCAACTAATAACACTGCCTGAAGCCACTGATGTTAGATTAGCTTTGTTTTCCATGTCTTGTATTTATCCTTCCTCTTAAACTTTACTGCAAAGTCTATGATGGCTTGCTTTGAGCCTTTGGCAGTGTTCCTATTTTACTGAACATGTTCTGGGTGAAATGTGATGTTTAAAATGCTATTAATACTTATTCAAACCCTCAAAATGCAAAGTGAGTGAGTATAGAAAATCCTGCAGTAGAAGCATATTTGAGGTGAGCCAACCTTCTGTTGAGATTTAAAGTCTCTTGTTGCTCTGGTGAATCCTGGCTAAGCACTCATCTCTGCAGTCAACAGGGCGGGACGGTCCCAGCATACTCCCCCTGTCAACATCACACTGCACTCTGCCCTCTCAGACCACACAACCTTTAAAACAACTCCCCAAGAAGTCTCCTGGAAATGTGCTGTGGTCCAAACAGATCCCAAATCACTCTTTCGCAATTTGCAAAGCTGCACCAATAGATCTTTATAGTGTAATGCATACCTATTCATTATCCTTTTACCAGTGAGGATTTTTCAATAAACACGCAACAGCGGGCTCTCAGAATCCCTCTTTACACAACCATGGTTTACTTTCGGTATATAATTACAAGCCAATTCAAGGCCTAATTGAAGGCATTCTTAATGTAATTGTGTTGATCTAGTTTTGTTTGAGAGCCTGTGGGATGAGGTCAACTTTGCCATTGACTTGGTTTATTTCTCAGGGTCTCTCTAAGAGTCTACATGTGAGGAGACACTGGTAAGGAGACAGGAGTACGGAGACAGGGGTAAGGGAGGAGACAGGATTAAGAGTCTGTATGTGAGGAGACAGGAGTAAGGGAGACAGGGGTAAGGAAACAGGGGTAAGGAGACAGGAGTAAGGAGACAGGGGTAAGGTGACAGGGATAAGGAGACAGGAGTAAGGAGACAGGAATAAGGAGACAGGAGTAAGGAGACAGGGGTAAGCAGACAGGAGTAAGGAGACAGAGGTAAGGTGACAGGGATAAGGAGACAGGAGTAAGGACACAGGGGTAAGGAGACAGGAGTAAGGAGACAGGGGTAGGGAGACAGGAGTAAGGAGACAGGGGTAAGGTGACAGGGATAAGGAGACAGGAGTAAGGAGACAGGGGTAAGGTGACAGGATAAGGAGACAGGAGTAAGGAGACAGGGGTAAGGTGACAGGGATAAGGAGACAGGAATAAGGAGACAGGGGTAAGCAGACAGGAGTAAGGAGACAGAGGTAAGGTGACAGGGATAAGGAGACAGGGGTAGGGAGACAGGAGTAAGGAGACAGGAGTAAGGAGACAGGGGTAAGGTGACAGGGATAAGGAGACAGGAGTAAGGACACAGGGTAAGGAGACAGGAGTAAGGAGACAGGGGTAGGGAGACAGGAGTAAGGAGACAGGGATAAGGAGACAGGGGTAAGCAGACAGGAGTAAGGAGACAGGGGTAAGGAGACAGGAGTAAGGAGACAGGGGTAAGGTGACAGGGATAAGGAGACAGGAATAAGGAGACAGGGCTAAGCAGACAGGAGTAAGGGTAGCTAATTTATCAGTAAAGATGAATGAATGTCCATATTGTACATTGTATGTTTTTTGTTTGTTTGTTTGTTTGTTTTTGTCCTTTTTATGTCTAGCCAAAAATTGTATCCAAGAAAAAAGTATTTGGAGAAAGTACTACTCAAGTGAGAGTAATTCTAAGAACAAGTGTCAGGACATATCATCTGATTTAATGTTAGATTTTTTGTGGATGTACCACTGTAATTCTAAAAAAAAACCTAAACTTTCACAACAGTAAAAGCAATATATGTGAGTAAAATACTGAGAAAAAATATTTCTCAAGTACTACCCATCCCGGCAGAGTTGGTTGGTGTATCTTTATTTTTGGTGGTTGGTTCCATGAGCTGGAAGTCTATTTGTGTCTGGGGTGAATGTTATCAGTTATGGTCTCTTTCCCGCACCACCACTCCCTCACCCTGCACCCTTCCACTTGAACAGCCACATTGTGTTGTGACGATGAGGTGAGTGAGTAGGGCCCCAGAACAGGGCTTATGTCTAGTGGTTAAGGCAGTAAACTGTTTTGACCCCAGACAGTGACTTCCTGTAATGATGAAACCGGATTGGTCAACGACAGACACAGGAACATGTGGCTGGCTCTGTTTATACTTCAGGTCTGTCAGTATTTTTGATCCAGGACCAAAACAGAAACCCTTGAGTTAGTGAACAATTGTTTCACAGAGATAAGGCTGCATGAGAAATGAACTAAGAAAAGAGACTTGTCTCAATGGGAATGATGTCAAATGTAAAAATATTTATAGATAATAACAAATTCAATTTTAGCTTAAAATGTGAGATTGTCCATTGCACGTTTATAATTCATCAGCCAAGACTTTTTCTTTTCTTTCTTTCTTTCTTTCATTTTTTTTCAGTCCACATGTCCACAATTTTGGCTAATTTCCAGACTTGAAGGATAGATACAGTGGTGTTCTATACACACAGATCACATTTCAGATAATAAAGCTCATTACAAACATGTGGAAAGCATCATTTTTATTCAACTGTTCACAGAAAATCAACTTATCTGCTTTCAGAGAGAGTCGCAGGGAGAACGTGTGTCATTTATTAAAACAGGCCATGCACATTTGAAGTAACAATACGTGCATTTAAAGTGAGGCATAAGGAAATCTAATAGAAGTATTTTATGTTATGTGTTTCCTTATCTACTTCATCAGGCTCGTACAGTCGACATTGTTTTGCCAAAAGTACCCGCTGGCATAAGTCAAAGAGAACATTTGATATCCCTCGCTCAAATTACATCATGACAGAGCAGATTAAGAAGGACCATGACTATGATGTTTTTATAGTCACTATCTTCTTTAATGTTATCAGTGTTATGTTCAAGAGTCCGGACTTCAAATTAAACATGAATAAACATAGATAAAAGCACTGATCTATTGTCCAGTAATAATATGAAAAATAATGTTTTGCTGTGTGTTTTTCAGACGGAGTGTGCTAACTTTGTGCGCCTGCTGCAGCCCTATAACCGCACACACCTGTTGGCCTGTGGGACCGGGGCCTTCCACCCTATGTGCGCCTTTGTCTATGTGGGACACCGCGGAGAGGTCAGTCCTCACCATTACACCCTCTATCAATATTCTCATTTATTACACCACACTTTTCAAAACCTTGGTGTGTCTCCAGAGAACATTAGTTTGCCTTTTCCTTCATTTGTGAAGAAAAACTGTTAGATGAAGTGTTTTTGCACCATTAACTCTTTTTTATGGACTTCCTTCAAATGTTTACAAAGTGTAAAATATTTGGGCTGTGCTGTCCTTAAAGGAGTTTTAGTTTGGACTCTTCCCACTCTTCACTCTTTTATTAGTATGGAAGGCTGTTCTCCGTATTAGGGCATTTCAACACATGTTTACATACACAATTTATGTAAGGCCATAGTATATAATAATGGACATATACTGTGCCATATTTTCTATGGTGTCACTCAGCCCCAGCTCAAACTGTACGACCCAATCGCAGGGTTTAAAAGTTCACAGCTGATGGAACTACTTCAACAGAGTGAAACCCTCATGAGAGGCGACTGGATTTCAAACAGGTTTGATATTTTTGTCACCTACGATTGCCAATCAGGAGCTGGTTGTGAGATATTAATTGGTTTGCTTTACCCCATGTATAGTACACAAAGCACGACACATGGTCAAGCCAAAACTCGGCAAGATCCTAAAAACAGCCGCAAGAGTGAAAAATCAGCTCAAAAGGTGCCAAAAATCGTACAGTGTACACCTGGCTTAAAACACTACAATAATACTGACTCTGCTTTCTCATTTATTGCTGTGCTTAAGTGTGTAAAGTGTGTCCTGAATATTACAAGAACACATATTTATGATGCTGAACAAAAGATGTCACATTAGCATTGATGCAGAAATGTTTTACTCATATTGGAACATTGATGCATTATGTGAGAGAGGCGATTTCCCCAAACCCCGTATGTTGATGTGAGAATAAAAAGATAATGAAAGTTGTACTCACATGTTCATTAGTCAAGGAAAACCAAGTGCCATTAACAAATCACTTTACAGCACTCTTCATGTTTTATGTACTTTATTCTTCACACTTCTCTCACACACTTGACACTTCGACACAGTGGCTCTTGTGTTTCTCAAAGGTTAAAAAGGTGACCTACTTTTCCCACACTTTGTCCTTTTGTTCAGTCCCACAAGCCGCTGTTGTTCTCGTGCTCCAGCAGCTCTCACCACTGTATATCGTATGTGGCCTGTGGGAGACTCAGTCCAACAGAGCGGGAGGGAGGGTCTTGAAACCAGGAGTCTAAAACCAGACCACAGCAGAATGGCATTAAACTTAGAGATGAAGGGAATACTTAAAGTCAGAATAAAGGCTAAATGGGAATGACTCTCCCTGAAAGCGATTGGAAACCAGTGATCTGAACGTTCACGAAAAAACAACGATGCTCCTGTCTGATTGGTCAGTCTTCACAGTCTCCACACTACTGGTGATTTTATTTACATTTTTAGTTTTTATTTAAAATTATTGCGTTGAAGTGTGGGGAAACTGCTATAAGACTCATTTACTGTGCTTAATTTCACTGCAAAAAGAGACATTAGGATTGCTCACAAGGTCCACTATCTGCATCCAACACACCCATTTTTATTTTATTTTTATTTTTTATTTTTTAATCATCTTAAATCTTAAAACTTAAAACTTCATGATCCGGTAAACAGAGGAGGGACCAAGTCGTTGTTTTGCAAGTCTCAAGTAATCTCAAGTCTTTGACCTGAAGCCCGAGTCAAGTCTCAAGTGAAATGCAGGCAAGTGAAGTCGAGTCTCGAGTCACTGGCCCATAAGTCCAAGTAAAGTCCAAGTTGTCTGCTTTGAGCTTCAAGTCATTTCAAGTCTAACCAAGTAATCAAAACCAAATATATAAAATATCAAATATATCTTAGATTTTTGCAATTTATATGAATTTTAAACTAAATTGTACTTAAAAAAAAAAATCATTGCATATTTATATATGAATATTTATAGAGTATATAAGAGTTGTAGAAAAAAAAGTCTTGAAAGGTCTTAGAGTGAGTCATTACAGTCAGAATAGAAAGAATTCAGATTTAAAAGTACTTCTCAAGTCTTCTCAAGTCACAGGCCTCAAGTCCGAGTCAAGTCCCAAGTCATTGACCTTCAAGTCCAAGTCGAGTCCCAAGTCTTAGTCCATTTTATTAAGTCAAGTCCTAAAAATAGTGACCAAATCATGACTTGCAAGTCCCACCTCTACTGGTAAACTTTAAAACTGCTCAAATTATGTTCAGGGCACCTATCATCTCTCTTCCAGCTAATTTAAATGATTTATTTCAAGATGGAAATGCTCATCATAACTACAAACTTAGTGGTAATAAAAAATGTATCAGCCAAAATTTTGAACTTCTTTAAAGTGAATGTGCATCTCAGTATCTGGAGTTAATCTGTGGAACAGATTATCAGAAGAACTAAAAGTGTGTAGGAGCCTGGTACAGTTTAAATTAATTGCTAAAATGTCTTGTCTTGTTAGTTTTAAGTTTGTAGTAATAGCAGTCACAATTTCTTGTAGTAGCAACAGTGGTATCAGTATTGTAGTAATCTTGCAGTAAAGTTGACTTTTTACTACTAGTTTCTGTATCCAGCAGAACTTCTTTTAGAGGATTGGCTCTGACCCATGTTGCCGTCTCATTGCACCATCACAGTTTATACTTGCCCTTTCTCTCCTCTGTTCTTGTGCCCATTCTGACCCCGTCCCGCTGAGCCCTATACGGACCCCCTGCTCAAGACTGCTGTGAGTTGGACCGCGCTAAAACAAGCACCTATAAGTCGCCCTTAAAGCTTCTTTTCATTAGTATTCATTGGTCCTACAAATGGCTCCAATGAAGTAAAGTAGTGTTGTGAAAGGGCAGCTCACTAAACGTACACTGTGCCCTATAGACAGAAGAGGTGGACTGGGAGTCATTTGTTGCACTAAAATGTCTTGGCAGCAGGCACATTTGTTCAATTAGCCCCAGCTTCTTCCCACACTGTTTTCATTGTGATGGTAAAATGGATCTCTAGTTTCTAAAATAAACGTCACCTAACAATAGTGGTCAGCCCCCATTTGGATGATAAATGGAGCTTAATTTTATCTGCTCTGATCTAATGGTGAAATTGGATTGGTTTTTGCATGTGGTGGGGTTTTCTTCGGCCCATTTACCGGGGAAATACTTATGCAACACTTGCATGTGATCATTTCTACTCAGTTTGGAGCACTCCTGTGTTAGTCTGTCCTCAGATGGGACTATAAACTCTATAAACTGTGTGATGTCACCCACAGTGTTCAGCTCCAGTCCAATGAAGTTCATGAGGCTAGCAGTTATAGGAGCATATTTGGAGCTGAGTTCCATATTAGGAATAGGAATTTATTTACAGACAAAATAGTGAAATAAAAACACCAGGATCATGTTGGTCTGTGTACCATTCATTTTTTTGAATTTAATTTAAGAACGAAAAACAATAAAACAGGAAAACAGTTTGTTATTTCATCATTCTGTTTTAGCGTCAAACAAAAAACAGATTTCGACCTCTATTTCCAATATTTGATTTAAAGTTTATTTCAAATAACACCAATCAAAAAACAGTCAACATGCCTACTTCAGTTGCGATATTTTATTCTCTCTGGTTTATTTGTCCTGGAAGTTCTGCTGCTAGAAGGACTTACCTGAAAACTCCATGATGAGAAACAGGACAACAGCCACACTTCAATAAATTCTTTGTTTAGCTGACACTGAATTCATACGTGGCGCACTAAACAGCATAACTTCCAGGACAAATAAACTAGAGAGAAAAATTTAAATAGGCACCGAGACTGTTTTTTGTTTGGTGTTATTTGGAATAAACTTTAAATTAAACATTGGAAATAGAGTTAAAAATCAGTTTTTTGTTTGACACTAAAATGGAATAACTAAATAACAAACTGTTTTCCCATTTTATTGTTTTTTGTTCTTAATTGAAATTTAAAAGAATGAATGGTACACAGACCCATGTAGAGCAGGTTAATACAAACATTTTAAGACCAAAATGATGAGGCTCACTGCAGCAGTTACAGAGAGAGGGAAGATCATTTTTCAATGTAAAGTGAATTTGAGTCAATGGAGCCAGAAGCGCCCCCATGTTCACTTCCTATTTGGAACGTGGTGGCTATTTATACGTGGTTAGCTATTTATATATACAGTTTATGGATGGAGCACTGTGGTATTGGACTAGGGTGGGATGACCTTTAACCTCTGAGCTGTTTCATCAAGCTGTGGTTCGAGTCTGCCTGCGGTGGACGTGTTGTGATCTTACTGTCACGATCACTCGCGCCAAACTCTGCATTTGATACGGTGTACATGATCAGTTTTGAAAACAGACTTCAACAGTGAGACAGGGACACGAGGCAGGCCTGCAGCTGGTCAAATATAATCACAGATAGAGCCTCAGTACAAGAAATACTGTCAGAGATGTTGTATTATTACACTGTGTTTTATTCACGGTCAAAAGCTAGATATTAAGTTGGAACTTTTATGACTGAGGCTGTTTTATGCCCAGTGTTCAAGTGACGACCAAAAATAACATGTTCATTCAATTCAATCAACAGTACTCCACAAGAAAAGTTATGTAGTAGATCTTATTATTCACCAACAATTGAGAGAACCTTTTCTTATTATTTTTAATTTCATATAGAAGTTTGTCACAAGCATTGCACATTTTACATACATTTTAAACAAGACCTATTGTGTTTTATTCTGTGTGCTCTGTAGCTATAATCTCTGACACCCATGGATCATTATGTTATTATTTGCATATTTAATTGCAATATGTACCTAAAACAACCGCATTAGGAAACTGTCATCACAACAAAGAGTCGGCACCTTTGATTGATAACTGCAGATCATGCGGAGCAGCTGATTTTTTAGGGTAATTTCTAAGATTTTTCTCAAAATTAAACTCTAAATCAAGTCATTTTTTTATTTTTATACCGAATTTAAAGGGATGATTCAGAGTCATTTCAACCTAGGATCTTTTGCACCATGACCTCTGTATTACATCAGTA